GGGGAAATGGGAGTTATTGCTTAACGGGGGGGCTGGGTTTCTATCTGAGATGACAAAATTTTTTTTAAAATAGACAGTGGTGATGGTGTCACAACATGGTGAATGTAATTAATGTCACTGAATTTTATATTTAAAATGGCAATTTTTTTTGTCATATATATGTTATCAAAATAAAATTAACAAAAGAACATACGGGCTCTGATCTTAACCTCTACAGGTCTTCTTTTTCTCATCTGTAAAAAGAAGACAATGATCTGCACCTGTTTCAGAGTGCAGTTGTGAGAGCTAAATGAATTACTATTTCTAAAATGCTTAGAACAGTGCCGGACACCAAGACAGCCCTCAATAAACATGAGCTATTATAATCTCCTTGGTCTCTGGGTAGCACAAACAGTTTATGCTCAAGTTCTAACCAAAAGGTTCACGATTCAAACCCATCTAGCAGTGCAATGGAAGACAGACCTGGCGATCTGAGATTCCGTAAAGATTGCAGTCAAAAAAACTCTGTGGAGCCCAGTTCTTTACTCTGTAACACATGGACTCACCATGAGTTGGAATCAACTCGCTAACAATTTTTTTTAATGATTCCTAGAGTTCAAAGTTTGCGTGTCAATGAACATGTGTCTGTCCATAAAATATCATGTATATTTACAAGTCCACTCATAAAGAAGTCTATAGATGAATTTACCTTAAGCCGTGACCAGTTAGCTCCATTTAGCCTCCATTAATAATTTGACATCTCATATTAACTTATAATAAATGCTTAAGGAAACTTTAGAAAAGGTAACCAACCTAGAAAATGCATGGGAAAGATAAAAGCTTAAAAGACACAAGAGAAAGAGTTTCCATAATCAACCTAACAAAAAAAAACTGAGCCTCTTGGAAAATGCAATTTGGAATGGTCTGACTACTCTAAAATAAGCTCAGATTTAGGGGTCAAATTGAATTTCTTACAATAACAATAAATTCAGCAGCATACAGCAACATTAACATACCAGATGTCAGTGTCAGGGAACTGAGGATCACTTAGGTCCCTGGCAAGAAGCCCTGGTGGTACAGTGGCTAAGCATCTGGCTGCTAAATGAAAGGTGGGTAGTTCAAACCCACCAGCCACTCCATGGGAGAAAGATGTGGCAATCTGCTTCCGTAAAGATTAAAGCCTTGGAAACCCTATGGGCAGTTCTACTCTGTCCTATAGAGTCACTATGAGTCAGAATTGACTCGATGGCAACCGGTGGTAAGTCCCTGGGTGGCTCAAATAGTTTGCACTCGGCTACTCACCTAAAGGTTAGTGGTTTTAATCCACCCAGTGGCACCATGGAAAAAAGGCTTGACAATCTGCTCCTGTAAAGACTACAGTCAAGAAAATCCTATGGAGAAGTTCTACTCTGTAACACATGGCATCACCACTAATCAGAGTCAACTCCATGGCAATGGGTTTCTTCTCTCTGTATTGTAACCATAACCACACATGCGTGTATAGAGAGGATTAACCTCTTGGCGGGGCTGCTGATGTTTGGGTAGTGTGACAAGATATATTCTCTTGTGTTTGTTCACCCATTTCTGACTGGTCATTGCATGGATCTAGATCCCAAGAGGCTACTTTTTTTTAACTTGTGTTTCAACAAGATATGACCTATGCATATATACATACATGGGAATCCTTGGCAAATATAGGATTTGCTTTCATAAAGTTTTCAAGTTAACAGCCAGAATATACTAAACATGATCCCATAATGTTCTTGCTATGTATCATCTGGAAATAGAGAACAAGAACATAATGTTACCAGGCTCTTTTATATTATCTGAGAAAACAGAAGAGGGAAAAGAAAAAAGAGAAAACCCTTCAGTTCTGCCCTTGGCTTGTGGAGTTCAGTGTCACTTCCTGTTCCTGTAGCCGGAAGGGGAAGGAAGAGCCCCACCAGATTCACCTACAATGATTCTTTCCACTCCTGTACAGTGAACCCTCGAATATCATATTATCCTAATTTCTAATAGAGAGGAAAGGGCCTTCGAGTGCAGTCAGATTGTTTAATAAATCATTGGCCAAGACCTTGCTTCAGAGTGACACAAAATAGCTCTGCCCTTGTCATGCCAAGGCAAGCAGTTTGAGCATGAGGAAAACGTCACATTGATGAATAAAGACAAGGAGCACATTCTGTTCTCAGTAGATAACGGGAAAATACCAAGCATTGTGTACAGCAGGGACAAATATGGCACTCTCTATAGTGAGGCGAAGCAGGCAAGAAGCCTGGCTTGGTGTTCACAGCCTCCCTGTCTCTCTCTCTGACCTAGGTCACCTGAGGACCCAGCACTTTGCAGAAAAGTTATATAGACTGGAGTCCCCCTGAGTCCGGGACACAGCACTACAGCCAATGGCAGCCCCACAGGCGCATAACCTCCTCAGCTAACGTAGGTGAGTCTACAGGCAAGACCCATGAAAGCAAAATGTCTTCCAAACAATGAAAAAGATGACAGCTTGGCTACCTATACCGTTATTAAAGAGAGAGAGAGAGAGAGAAAAAGAGTAAAGACAATTATATTTTCTATTTATAGATGTTATTTTATTCTAAAAATAAATTTTCTTTAGATTCTCTTGCTTTTAATATCAAAAATAGTTTTACCTTGACCGTCATGACTGAACTAACAAAAGCATCCTGTAGTAAACACACACTTCATCAGCTTAGAGGCCTCTCTGTATTTTCTCTAGCTCTGAGATTCACCATGGCAGTCCAAGTAAATAGGGTATACACACACATTAGAACATGGAGCTTCAAATTAAAATGGAACATTCCATGAGTTTGTGGGAGCGCTCCTCCCCACCTTCAGGACAAACAAAACGTAGAATTTATGTGCGTATTATTCCTTATTGACTCATGATACGTTTTCAGTGATGTCCAACGGAAAATGTCTCCCCCCCACACAGGGGGCCTCCCACAGTCCCATTAGCCCACAAATCCTTGCAAAATCACAATTTGGCAAACCAGCAAGAAAAACACCCTCTTTATCTTCTGTTTGCGAGCCTTGAAGATTTGAAAGTGTGAGATCGCAGCCAGTGTGTGTGAAGGGGGCCGAGGGGTCTGTTGTGCAGCCGCCCAGCGGGGAGGACCCACTCAAGGAACAGGCAGTGAGACTTGGACGCACTGCCAAGTTCCCCTGCCTCTTTAGAAACCCCTCAATTAGACAACCTATTTCTATTCATTTGTTCTAATCTTTCCTCAGATCAGGCCGGCAGCCCATTAATCATTTCTGTCATTCCCTTACAGAATCCAGGGCAACAGATCTCTGTTTTCCTAAAACCACAGTGCCAGAAACTAAGCTGGAGAAAGAGGAAATCCTCTCCTGCTCGCAGCGGCTGGCTGAGGTGCTGACTGGAAGGAGCCACCAATTGTGCTCACTTTCCTCCTTTGCTCAGAATTGCATAGAACATTCTGTGGAAAGTTTTAAAGAGAATTCAATTCAAAGCGGAGCTGGAGAGGCTAAGGAGGAAACCCACACTTGAAGCAACCAGCTGAGGAGAGTGTGAGAAAGAAGTGGATAAATAAACACCAAGACAAAGACAGATATGGATTAATAATATCCTTAGTCATGTATTGATTAAGGCCAAATATTTTAGTATCTTCAGACAGCAGAAAAAGCATATCAAAGGTCAGGTCTGCAGCCACGATAGGCTCTCTACCCACTGAAGCAATGACTAACTAAAATAAACTTAACCAAACAAAATGCTCCCCAATGGCAAGGAGAAAGTCTATTCTGGAGCTGATATACTTGGGTCCATAAATAACATGGTGTGACCTTGAGCCCACTGATATCTTGGGCTCATTTTTTTTTTAAATAAGAGTAAGCCTGTAGGTTAGAAAGAACACTGGGGATAACTGGTAACAGAAAACAGGAGACAGAAGAACCATGTAAATAAAGAGCAGAAATCAGACTTACTGAGGATAGGGACCTACATTCACTCTTAGACCACTCGTACATCGTGTTAATCCCCACAGTGACCTCTGCACAGTACAAAAATCAATGGCATCATACAAAACGTACACGAGTAGAAGTCAGGAGACGTGGTTTCTACTCCCATGTCCAGCAGTACCAATATAATCAAGGGCAGGTCCCTTTCCAGATTATGGAGAAGGCCCAGGGAAGAAAAGTGAGCGTGTTGCACTGACTTTGAAGTCCTTCCAAGATTCCTGGACTCTAAGTGGTCGACTTAGGTGGTTTAAAGATTTCTTGCTTCTCTGAAATTCTGTGATTTTATTATCCTCCTAACAGTGGGTCAGTGTTACCAGAGACAGGTAAGAGTACATTTCACACACATCAGCGCTTCCTATTGGTTGTGCTGACTCAAACTGTAATGTATAGTGATCAGTTATGTCTCAAGTGAGTTGATATTAATAATTTTTTAATATCAGAGTTTGTGAATGATTTACTTAAAAACATAAACTAAAGCAAATAATGTCAGCCTTATTTTCCTGATTTTTACCAAGCCTTCCAAGGTCAAAGAAAAGATGTTATATAATCCTGTGTTTGTCTATAGGAGAATTTATTCATGTGATATTTCAACTGCCATTTATCAAAAATTACTGGTAGTCACTACTGAAGAAAAGAAGTATATACCATGCAGGGACTATTATAAATGTGGTTACATTGACAACTACAAAAACATTAAAAAACATAGAGAACATTGCCTCTCTTAAGCTTAATAAGGGATGATATAAAGTTAAGATTTGAGTAATTGAAGGAATTGTCAAGGGTACATTTGCTTAAGTACAGTTTTGGAAACACAACTCCCACTTTATCACCTACACTGTGATATATTTTAGAAGGATGGATGGATTCAACTTATTTTTTCAAAGTTTCCTTACAAGCGTAAATTTCAGCTATGTTGAATATGTATCATTCTACTTCATGTCGGTAAAACAGAACATGTCTGCATTTGGATATGGGACTCAGAAGCAAATAATGTGAACATGGAAAAGTATGAACATAAAAATGACTGTTACCATGAATGCTATTGAACTTTTCAATGTGGATTCCCACTGGAAGCAGCTTTTAAGGAGCTGTGTTGTATTCCATATTGCCATGGTGATTTTTTTCACACGGTCTACGTCTCTTGATAAAATCTGAAAAAGCAAAATGGAAAACAAGGAGCTAGATTTAAATACTCTATGTAGTCTCTTCAGATCAGTTAACCTGGTCATTTAAATTATATTTTGTTTAGCTGCCAATTATTAAAAAAAAAAAAAAAGAATAGTAAAGTACTGATATTTCTTCTGAAACTCTTTTCACAGAAGAAGAGAAAATCCAAAGAATCTTATAGCTCATTTTATGAAGAACAGCCTGTTTGAATAACGTTCAGCACAAAACTACAGCAGCCAGGTGTTTGGTGTGTGTGAATTTGTGTGTGTGCACACACATGTACTTGTGTGTGTGAGAGAGAAAGAGACAGAGACTGGTGGGGAGAGGGAGAGAAAGAGAAAAAAAACTAAGAGACGAGGGGGCCCATGTTGTTTAGCTTGGAGGGAAATAAAAAACCAAACCCAACCTGTTGCCATCAAGTCGATTCTGACTCTTCGCAACACTATATAGGACAGAGCAGAACTGCCCCATAGGGTTTCTAGTAGAATCATGCAAGTATTACAGCTCATCTAGTCCAGAAAAAAACATGGGTGTAGAAAAATATAGGTACAAAAGGGAATCCATTTCTACCCCTTTATAGATGTGCCAATTTCTTAACCACTCTCTTGTAAGTTGGGTTGACATTAGTACTAATTATACATAATTGCATGGCTTAAAGGGCTTAGAAAAAGTGCCTGATACATAATATGTAATTTTAAGTATTTGCATCATAAGCAAAAGATTCAACCTTAAGGAAACTTTGGAACACAAAGTGGTGAAAGGCACGTAGGGAGGGTCCTGACAAATACAAGCGTCTTATCCCCAAATCCCCAGGTACTCTCTTAGCCCAAAGCCACCGGCCATGGAGGTAGTGTTTTGCAAAGGAAATGTCTTTTCTCCCAGTTGTAAGCAGATTCATTTCAATTTGTTTGCAAAGCAGCTACCCTGTCTACCTCAACCCAGGTTTTAACTTTCACGTAAATAGACTGAAAGGCAATAATTATAATAAAAAAAAAAAAAGACATTTACTCCAATTACATAAAACAAACATTACACTCAATGTTATGGTAGACGGAAACAAAACATTTGGATGCTTCTCTTCAGAAGTTGAAGTCTTTCCCAAGTGTCCCCAGAAGTTCATGGGGAACAAAACGATGATAGGATGCCCTTCTATTTAACTGCTTTATGCAATTCACAGCTGCTCAACCAAGAGGAAATGGTGGAAGTAATAAACACTTTTAAAGGGGACACTCTGTTCTTTGTTACACAACTGAAGAGGGACAATAGGTACAGAGTGACATCCAGAATTGTGTCTGAATAGGACAGGGAGGGACTCTGAAAAGAAATGTAAAGGTCATGCTGAAAAAATGTGAACTTTGCTTTACTGGGTCCTTATCTTCACTTTTGGTTGAACTGATGTGAGAGGAATTAGGGGCAACAGACAGGAGAGATAGTTAATTCAACATCGGGTAAAATGCCAACACATCCCAAATTTAGACCATACAGAAGTGGTAGGAATAGGGTGGCTGAATCTGCAGCTAGAAGTCTCTACAAACCTGCTGGGTTAATTCCGTTATTGGCTCATCGGGCAGACTATCTTGCTGAAACGTCACAGGACTGAGACTAAAATGGCTGTCATACAGGAGGGTAGGCAAGGAGTCCCTGGGTAGTGCAAAGCTGCTCGACTGCTAACCTAAAGAGTGGAGGTTAGAGGACACCCAGGGAGCCTCGGAAGAAAGGTCTGGTGATCTACATCTGAAAAATCAGTAAAAACCCTGTGGAGCACAGTTCTACGCTGACACACAAGAGGTCGTCATGAGTCAGAATCAACTCAGTGGCAGCCGGGACGGGTAGGCGGGGAAAGTAAATTCAGGAAGGCCTTTATGGAGTCTAGGGTCGCTATGAGTTGGAATCGACTCCACAGCAACTGGTTTAATATTAAGAACTTCTGTTCACAGAATAATCCAGGAAAATAATCAAAGGCTGACACCTTCTGTTTCAGTCAATACATATTTTTAAGCGTCCTCCTTCTCAAAGATAAAGATTAAATAATAGACATCTTGCTTTGATTTTAGGGTTTTTCTTATGTACCAAACCAAATATTAACCATAAAAATTCCTGATCAAATCCTGCCAGAGGCTTTGTTTTTTTCACCCAAAATTGCTAATCTTTTATTTCTTGTTCTAAGCTAGGCTTACTTAATTTAAATTTCAAAAGATATCATGGCTGCCAGTGGGTGGAGGGCCAGAGACTACCTTGTGACTGGGTATCCACTGATCTCAGTAACGGGGGAGGCAGGGTTCAATCAACCATGTTAAGATTAGCCAGTGGTTGATCTTCTATTCGTCTCCCTTCTCTTCTTTTTATAAGCTTCATTGTAACTAGCCTACTTTCAGCCATTTGCTTTTTTTTTGGGAATCAGAATGGTCTTTCTCTGTGCATACAGAATGACTGCTCAGAGTAAATCTTATGTTTCAATTTCTTTGAGTTTTGATTATTTTTTAACACCCTTCTTACTGATCTGAAGACCCTGCTTTGGGGAAAGGAGAGGAAGAAAGAGAGAGGGAGGCACAAGCAAGTAACAACACATGGGTGCTTTGAGCACTGGGTGTCCTAACAAGTTGGCTTACTGTATCAACTTACCTTTTTGGACAGCTTGCGGTTGTCTTCAACAAAGCGCTTTTCTCTGGGAGTAAAAGTCCTAATACTTGCTTTGACCTACAAAGACATTATTGTTAAAAATGGCAGCACTTGGCACTTGTATGAATTTCATTTTTCTTCTTCTTCTTTTTTTTTTCTTCTTAGTGACTGGGAAGAAATGTGGAAATCAATACATTTGTTTATCATAAAATGCAAACGATGATACTTATTTACCAGGTTTGTGGTAAGGATTGAATGAGACTGTCAGAGCCTAAAACAGAGTGGGTGCTCAATAAATTATAGTAAAGCTCTACCCTACACTCACTCATTTCACCAACTGGATTAACCTATGCTCCGCTTTCCCTCTGTAGAACCTTCTATGGACATCCATACATACTTCATGCTCCCAGCTGGCAGGCCACTCCCCAGCAGGCCCAGAAACCTCTGCACACTTCATTTATGCCCACCATGAGTCAGTTGTACGTGTTCCCAAACCTGTTTATCCAGCTTTACCTGTTATTGCAACTCCATAATTAACTATTGTACAAATGTTGACATATGAGCAAGAATCAAAAGAGAGTTGAAATCTATGTTGCTCTAAAAAGGCTTGATAAGGTTAAACCACTAAAAAGATACTGTTTCTAAGCCAAAGTTTTTATGGGAAAAAAATCTGGTAGAATCATGTACTCAGTTTGTTTAGCAAGTGTCTTTAAAGTACCCCTCACTTTAAAGAAACCGAAGCTAGAAATTATATGTTATGGGTATGATTTATGCAAGCAATATGGTGTAAAACAAAATAACAGATCCATTCTCAAAACAAAAAAAAAAAAAAAAGGAGGGGTCTGGGACTGTATCTAAAGACTGGCAAATGAATGTGCATTTACATATTTTATATTAAAGTAAAATGTTTACAGTATATTTAAAATAAATCATTTTTTACTTCAACTGACATTTTCAGTGGACTTGTCTTGAATGTGTTCTATACCAGGGTGCCTGCTACAATAATTAAATAACACCTTAAAAACAAACAAACAACCCCATCGCCATTGAGTCTATTCCAACTCACAGCGACCCTATAGGAAAGATTAGAACTGCCCCATAGTGCTTCCAAGGAGAGGCTGGTGGATTCTAACTGCCGACCTTTTGGTTAGCAGCTGAGGTCTTAACCACTGTGCCACCAAAGCTCCAAATAACACCTTAGAGACTTGAAGATATCTGTATCCAACAGCCAACTGTTGCCTTGGAGAAAGATTATAGAACATAAACCTAAAAAAACTAATTGTCCCCTTTATTGTTCTTTTCTTCTTTGACATAAAGATTTACGGAGAATTAAACACATAAATTTGACTGGTTTGACATGGTTATGGCTGATTTTTAGACAGAGCACTGTTCTCCCCTTTCTCCAGCTGCAACACGTCCAGAACATTTTATATTGGTTTGAGTCTTTAAAAGCTGGTTACCTGTTATGTTAGGTAGGGGGATACTAGGCTGTATGGCAAGTTAGACTTACCGGATTATATATGAGGTCCATCTCCAAGTAAATAACTCCTTTAAAAGCTTGTTCTAAATCTTTATTCTTCAATACATAACAATTTGTTTGTCCATCTCTAATCTGTGATTTAAAAAAAGATAAAATATATATCAGTATAAATTTTCCATATGGTTTAAACTTAACAACCAGAACTAATTATGGCAAAGTTGAGAATGCAGATGATCATGGACAAAGTAAATATTAAGCAAATACTAAATTCATTATAAGTCAACTTTTAATTATAGGGTGCTTTTAGAACTAATAAGGAAGATAAAGTAAGGCTGAAACTGGGGCATTGATGGGAAATTATCTGTGCAAATTATTACTAAGACTACATGGGACTCTTCCTTCAAAAATCCCAGAGGTTACACATTTTTATGGGTTAAAGCAATGATGGATAGTCTACAAAATCCGTGTTTTGTGCTCCTCAAGACTGTCAAGGTCGTGGGGGATATGTAAAGACCAAGAAACTGTCACAGATCAGAAGAGACTAAGGAGACATAATGACTCAATTCCATGTGGTACCTGGGTTCGATCCTGGAATATAAAAAGGACCTTGGTGGAAGAACTGGTGAAATCCAAGAGTTTAGTTATCAGTAATGTACCAAGGACAGTTTCTTAGTTTTGACAAGTGTATCATGGCAATGTAAAATGTCAACATCAGAGGAAACTGGGTGAGGGACAGATGAGAATTCTCTGAATTATTTTTGCAACTCCTCTGTAAATCTAAAATGATTCTAAAACAAAAAGTTTATTAAAATATTTTAAGAAACAAAGGAACCAATTTTTAATAAAAACAGCCAGTTTTTCACTAGCCAGGGAATAATGCAAAATAGATGAATGTAGCTAAATTTGCAGACAAAATCCAAAACCATTCAACAGGCACAAAGTGCCAGCAAACCTTCAAAATAAACAATTCTCTCTGATATCCACTCTGCCAGCATGTCCCATCAGTTCCATGCAATAACCTGCCCGTTGGCCCCACTGTGTAAGGCATCTGAGAAAAACATCTCATACCATTTTGGAAACTATTTGGCTCCCATTAACATCATTCTCTTTTCAGACCTGATAGCAGTAATGCTTTATTGTACACAGTAGTGTACATATTGATTAAACATTTGGCTTTTAAGGAAGTCTACCAGTTAACTCTAAAATGGTATCAGCAAAACTTGAGTTTACTGAAAGCTCCATTTGGGATTGTAATGATCAAAGATTGAAAATAACATGGGAAATTTGAGGGCCTGGAATTTGAGCCATATTTTAAATGACTATTGCTGTCACTACAAGCATTTAGTACAAGTGTTCTTATAAACAGTGGTGGAAATGAGTTGAATAAGTCACGGGGGAAACAGAGTCATTCCACATTACAAGGGAGAGGTCACTTTCCTTCCCAAAGTCACCCCACCTCTCTCAGATTGAATAGGCTTTAAACAGAAAGATGGTTTTCCTGGCCAGTGGCTGAGAGGAAGGGGGTGCCCCATAAAGACCTGGTTTCCTTCCTAAACGGTGTCCAAACAGGATTCTGAGCTTCCGCTTTTATCCACAGTCTCACTTAATAAATTGTGGGTGTTAAAGTTGAAAGAAATAAATACAAAAACAGCATGACAATTTGCCAAGTTGACTTTGATCCAACTTAGCTTTGCTTCAACCCACAGTCACCGCACAGTTATCTTAAAATTTCCATGATTTCTTAAGGGTTAGGGAAGGTCAACATAAGAACAAGAGATATCAGTACAAAATGAAATATTTTATAGTGAAAGGAGAAGGTGTTTTTGTTGTTATTTTTACTTATTTACTTATTTTTTTGAGTTTTAAATGACCATTTCCTCTGTCTCAGTGCCCCCACTTGTGTCAGCAAAACGCAGAATTCACGTAGGGACGTTACAGCAGTCATTAACGCTAGAGACACAATTAAAGGGATCGCGTTTAGCACTGTAACATAAAATTAGCTTAAAAGATATAAATGAAAAACTTTACAATTTATAAAAAGTTTCAAAATTACAGAAGAAAAAATTAAACTGTGGAAATTTACTTCCCACAAAACATCATAATCCCTTTCCCCTCCCAGAAATTAGACAGGAATTTGGTGTGGACCTTCCTAAATTTTTATTGAGAATTTATATTCATAAGTATTTCCCTGAGAAAAAAGTATTTAAAATTTTTTGCTTAAGTGTCAAAGGGTATGTATTTTGTAATTTGGTTTTTTATCATCAATATGATTTGGTCATATAGCTATATTAACATATAGATCTGCCTCATTTCTTTAAACTGCTATATAATATTCAAACTATGAATAAACTGCAATTTATTAATTATCCTATGATGAACATTTGGTTGATCAAATTTTTCACTGACTCTGCTGTAAGGAATATCTTTTGAAAAAGGGTAAAAGGCAAAGAAAAGGGAAAATATTTACTAGCTTATATTTAGTATAATATGCTTGGATTATGAGCAAGTCAACATATTTGAATATTTAGTACTGTAATTAAAACTGCAGTTGTAATCTATGAGAGTATTTTAAGAATATTCTCATTTTCCACCGTCTTTATATAATAAAACTTCCAACACAAAAATATAAGATAAAAAGTTGTTCTGTAACATCCCAACTTGCATAACTCCTGTATGTCAGGATTTATAGAATAAGAAATGAAAGCTGAACATAAATTTTTCACATCTAAAACTATGCTTATTATTTATACTTAGAAGTCTGAAAATTATTTCTAGTAGTTTACAATTTTTAGACATCTATTCAATGGGATAAATAAAGCACAATAAAAAAAAAACTAGAGGCGAGAATCTATAAATACTTTGGTCCCTAGGTATGAGACAGCCCCTTGAATTAAAACCTAAGTTTAATTTTGAGATCCCTGTCAGCCAAGGCAAAAAGGGAACATGTGGTTTCCAATTTACAAGGAGGTCTACCAGTTCATGTGGAGAGTCTTTCTGTGCTGCCATCTGGGACAACTTTATTTCAGTCAAAAATAAGGATCACTGGGTACGCAGGCCACGTCTTTGACTTCTGTGTTGCAAGTTGTTTTTTTCTCCCCCTACCAGGTCCTGGGTGGCGCAAACTGTTAAGTGCTTGACTATCAGGTGTAAGGCTGGTGGTTTAAATCCACCCAGAGATGCCACAGAAGACAGGCCTGGTGATCTGCTTCTGAAAGGTCACAACCTTGTGAACCCAATGGAGCAGTTCTACTCTGCACAGATGGGATCGCCATGAGTCAGAATCAATTCAACAGCAACTAACAAGAAAAACAATAACCAGTCTACCCTTAGGCTTTTAATTTATGCTGGCCATTTGTATACATCAATTTGTTTATTTTGGCCATACTGACATCTCAAGAGTTCTCTCCCTATGGCTCCTGTTTCTCAGTTGGCTGATACAGGGCTTCCCCACTATTTTAACAGTTTTGCTTATAGAATTTGTTTTAAATTTTGACCTTTAATTTAACTAGAAACTATTTTTGAGTTTGATGTAACACATTGATGCATTTTCCTTCCAATGAGTAAGCAACCAATTATCCGAGAATCACTTATTGAATAGTTTACCCTTCCCTCAATGGCTTGCTGTTTCATATTTATCACATATTAAACGATCTCTATTTATTTAGCTCCTTTCATGTCCTTCAGTACAGTTTTAGAATTCCCTCACATGGATCTTAGGCTTTGTAAATTTTTGTTTTATCTTGAATGGTCTTTGATACTTTTTTACTTTTTAAAAATGTTTTCTTATTGGGTACAGCCACTGATTTTTTTCTTTTTCAAATGTGGATCTTGTCTACACCTTATTGACTTTTATTTCAGTATGTTTTGTATTTTCTTTACCTTTATAGATAATCATAATATCTACAAATAATGTGTTTCCTTCTTTAAAATATTCATGATTTCCCTTTTCTTATATTTTGCATTGGCTAGATCTGACAAAAAAGGTTTAATGTTTAATTGTTAATTTTTAAACATATAACAAAAACCAGTTGCAATCAGGTAAAAGTAAAAGAGCTGAGCAGAAGATTTCAAAGGGCAGCTTGAGAAAACAAAGTAAAGTATTATAATGAAATGTGAAAGACCTGGAGATAAAAGATCAAAAGAGAAGAACATGCTTCGCATCTCTCAAGCTGAAAGAACTAAAGAAAAAATTCAAGCTTCGAGTTGCAATATTGAAGATTCTACGGGGAAAATATTAAATGACACAGGAAGTATCAAAAGAAGATGGAAGGAATACACAGAGTCACTGTACCAAAGAGAACTGGTCAACGGTCAACCATTTCAGGAGGTAGTACATGAGTGAGAACTGATGGTACTGAAGGAAGAGGTCCAAGCTGCACTGAAGGCATTGATGAAAAACAAGCCTCCAGGAAGCGAGAGAACACCAACTGAGATGTTTCAACAAACAAATGCAGCGCTGGAAGCCCTCACTGGTCTGTGCCACAAAACTTGGAAGACAGCTACTTGGCCAACCGACTGAAAGAGATCCATATTTGCACCCATTACAAAGAAAGGTGATCCAACAGAATACAGAAATTACAGAACAATATCATTACTATCACATACAAGTAAAATTTTGCTGAAGATCATTAAAAAGTGGTTGCAGCAATACATCAACAGGGAACTGCCAGAAATTCAAGCCAGATTCAAAAGAAGACGTGGAACAAGGGATATCATTGCTGATGTCAGATGGATCATGGATGAAAGCAGAGACACCGGAAAGATGTTTACCTGTGTTTTACTGACTATGCAAAGGCATTTGACTGTGTGGATCATAACAAATTATGGATAACATTCCCAAGAATGGGAATTCCAGAACACTTAACTGTACTCATGAGGAACCTGCATTTAGACCAAGAGGCTGTATTTAGACCTGTTCAAACAGAACAAGAGGATACTGCATGGTTTAAAGTCAAGAAAGGTGTGTGTCAGGGTTGTATCCTTTCACCATACCTATTCAATCTGTATGCTGAGCAAATAATCTGAGAAGCTTGACTATATGAAGAAGAATGTAGCATCAAGATCAGAGGAAGACTCATTAACAACCTGCGATATGCAGATGACACAACCTGGCTTGCTGAAAG